ACCTTTCATGTGTTGTAAAACATCAAATGCACATTAAATGAAAACAAAAGCACTGGGCATTGTATTTTAGAGAAAGAAAAGGCTAATTTGGAATGCTTTTGATTGGTTGGAACTATTCAAGTAGATATAACACTTAGTAATTGTTCAGACAAGAAAGTGGGTATAGACTTTCTCTTCTACCATGAGGCTGTGTGCACACTTTGTTCTCTGAGGAAACACTCTACATATTGAAAAAAGATGTACTTACATTGGACTCTAGTGGGAGCCTGTCTGATAGAGGTCTGTTTGTTCCAGGGAAATATGAACAATTCCCAAAGTGGAAAGTACATAAACACACAGGCATCATGCCCACTCTCTCTCCTTGCCTGTACCTTTTGTTTCCAAACCTAAGGGACCACACACCATCTTCCTTTCATAGGCCCCTGTTTGACATTCCTAGGCATTTCAGGTTTGTCTTGGCCAAGCCCATATTTAATATTCTAGATTAAAATCAAAGAATGTTTTTTCTGGAAGTTATTTTATACATAGTTCATCCAGTCAACTATTTGCCTGTATCACTTATGCCCCTGGATGTCCAAAATCTCATCCTTCAAATGATAGTCAACATTGACACAATTAAAATAACTGGCAAATTAAATTTCCTTCTTTTCAGAAAATAAAATCTATTATGTAAAGTTAGCTTGGATTCTACACAGTATTTGTGCTTTAGCTATAAGCTAGCCAATTCAGTTTAGTGATCATTAATAAAAATATATCATTCTAAGTCTTCATAGGCATTCACAGGTGAATTGAAAATGCTTATTTCTTAATTTGTTCCTTCTTTCTTTCTTATGATCCTGTCTATCTCCCATACACATATACCTGGGAAAGAGATAGAGAAAATCAGAAAAAGAAATAGATGTTAGGAGAGGCTGAAGGTGGTGACTAAAAGTTCCCCAGAATGAGTAAGAGTGAAAGGAGTTGAGATGCCTTTGAAATATTCTTTTTAGCAAACACAATAGAGAATGGTGTTGCAGACTTGAAAATAGATAGACAAGGTTTATGTCTCCATCTCTCTCTTCACAATCACCTAAAGATTGAAATGTACGGCACATTATAGATGTCTAGCTGTGCTTTAGTTACAACATACATTTTTTATGTCAATCTCCCTAATGTTTGAATATTTCCAAATTAAGAGTGAGAACTGGAATTGACTCAAACATCAATGCAGAAGCCATAATACTCAGTAGAGTTCAGGCTGTTTCCAGGGATGAAAGAGTGGAAAAACACATCAACATGATTTAAGCTAAAACAAAATACAGTAATGGTTCACTTATCCAATCATCCAGCATACGGTTATATAGAGAAAGGCCTATAATTTCACTTGGTAGTAAAAAGTGTATCACCTTAAGCCTTCCATGGCTGGATGATTATGTGAAAAGTAAAAAAGCAGCTTAGAAAGGATACATCCAGGCATGAAAATGAATGCTGATGATGGAAGAGGAAAATGTGCAAATATCCAGGGTCCAAGCTTAGCACACTGTGGTTAACTACGGAGAGGAACAACAGCTGGTTAGTCTGCAACAGCCCCCGGGCATCAGCAAGTAACATACGGTGTGATAATTACGTTTAGAATGCTGCTTCTGCCCCCCATCCCCACCCCGTCCCGGTTTATCATTCTTACTTCTTGACAATTAGTGTCCTACTGTTGTGAGCTCTCCCCTCTATCAACTTCAAGTTTCAAGGGAGTATATAAACTGAAATATCTTCCCTCTACTGAGGCCAAAGTTCACTTTAAGGCAGTTTTCTATGACTTGCCACTCAAAAAACAGGTTAGGTCACCCCTCACATGTTCTCAATGCATCCTAAAGTCTCATTCAAAGCACCCATCAAACTTGTAATTAAATAAGTATTTGTATAATTGTTTTATTAACCCATACATTCATTCATTTGGCACATATTTATTGATCACCTACTCTGAGCCATGCACTGTGCTAGGCATGGGTATAATAGTGAACTCAACAGACATGGGCCCTGTTCTCTTGAGGCATCAGAGGAGAATGCAACTGACTGCACAGTTCATTACTAGGCACATTTATTTCATGACAATCTCTTTTGCCAGACTATAAACACAACGAGGCAGGACATTTTTATCTTGCTCAGTCTTGGAGGATCCTCACTGGGAATCAGTTAAGAAAGCTTTTGCTTCAATTCAAAGCATCTCTTGGGCTTCTGAGGTAGGCAGTGAGGCTGTTCTGTAAGTTTTCAGATGGCAACAAGCTAGGATCTCCACTGGCCAAGGGAAGTCGGCTTTCTGAGTTCTAGAGGTTCAGTTAGTGAGCTAGATCAGCAAGCCAGATCAGTCAGTGAGGGTTCTAACAAGGGAAATCCCACTTGGAATCTGGAATTTACTGGGATCTGACTTTGTTGCACTTCTAAATTCTCAAGATTGGGGTACAGGGGTGCTGGGGTCCAACCCCAGCAGGTCCAGGGGTCCCCAAAGGTGTGGACGGAGTCGGCGAAGAAGGAATGACACAGAGACAGCCTTCAGTTGATCAGCAGCCTAGCCAGGATCTCTAGCCAGGAACTCCAGCCAAGTTCTGGTGGATCCAGCGAAGTTCTGGCCAAGTTCTGGTCAGGATCTCCAGCCAAGTTCTGGCTAGGATCTCCAGCCAAGTTCTGGTGCCATGTTCTCTCGCTAGGTTCTCCAGCCAGGTTCTCCAGGTTCTCCAGCCAGGTTCAGTCGCCAGGTTCTCCCGCTAGGTTCTGTTTCTAGGTTCTGTCTCCAGGTTCCGTCTTTAGGTTCTATCCAGGTTCTCCTGCCATGTTCTGTCTAGGTTCTCCAACAAAGTTCTGTAGCCAGGTTCTGTCCAGGATCTTTTGCCATGTTCTCTCTCTAGGTTCTTTGTCTCTAGGTTCTCTCTAGGTTCTGTCTAGGATCTCCAGCCAAGTCCTGTCTCTAGGTTCTGTCTCTAGGTTCTTCAGCCAGGTTCTCTCGCTAAGTTCTGTGTCCAAGTTCTGGTTAGGATCTGATTAGGATCTGATGAGGGTCTGATGTTTATTGTCTTGTTACATCCGTATTTATACCAGTCGATTTTAATCCTGTCAATTTCTATTACAAAGGTTAGGGCGTTTCTTATCTCCATTCCAGGGAGTAAAGATTATGTAGCTTAACTACCCGCCTGGCACTTAATTAAGGGGTTGTATCCCCTCCCTAACCTCAGGGAAAAATCCCCACCTGGGGAAACAACCTTTCTCAGAGAGGTGACCTTGGTTAAAACACAGGGCGCTAAGGAGAGCAAACATACTAAGAACAATATGCTATATATGCCAGGTCCCTTTTTTTTTTTTTTTCGCTAAAAGTATTACAAAGGGTATTACATAAGTGTCCTTTTTTCCCCCCTGCCCTTGACAAGCCCCTGCCCTCCCTTACCCCCCAGTGTCTTATGTCCATTAGTAATGGTTATATGGATGCATACAAGTCCTTCAGTTGATCTCTTACTCCCCTCCCTCCTGTCCCCCAACCCTCCCTGGCCTTCCCACTGCAGTCCGACAATCAGTTTGAGGCAGCTCTGCCACTGTATTTATTATTGTTCAAAAGTTTGTAATTATGCCAGGTCCCTTGAAACATATGCTGTGCAGATGTTTCTTTCCTGCAGCAACTGTGTTCAAGCAGCAAGGATGGACCGGCTTCCGGCACAGGGGATATAGCAGTAGTAGTTTTGTAGTATTTTTAGGGCCTCAAGAGAGAAAGAGGAGAGTTTCAACAGCTACAGGTAAAGAGTTCAGAGAGAATATGTGTGGGCTCCCAAGAAAAAAAAAGGCAATTTAGCCGAAGCCGGTTTGGCTCAGTGGATAGAACGTCGGGCTGCGGACTGAAGGGTCCCAGGTTCGATTCCGGTCAAGGGCATGTACCTGGGTTGCGGGCACATCCCGGTGGGGGATATGCAGGAGGCAGCTGATCGATCTCTCTCATCGATGTTTCTAACTCTCTATCTCTCTCCCTTCCTCTCTGTAAAAAATCAATAAAATATATTTTAAAAAAAAAAGAAAAGGAAATTTGGAGAAGTCCCACTGAATGTTGAGGCTTGGGTTCTGAGGTCCACCAGGAGTGGCATTTTTCTCTCGGCGATTATTTTATAATCTAGCAGTAGATCAAATGGAAGAATAGTTGACTGCATGGCATCATCCTTCAATAATTTAATGAAATTCTTACTGTCACCATTGCTCATCCAAAAATGATTTATGGTTTCAATGCAGGTAAGCTACATTTGTAACAAGACTATTACTAGCTGCACCATAATGCCCTGGAAGGTTCCAGGGCCATGATCTGTCCATTTAAATCCTGGATAAGTTTGGTTCTCAGGCTATATATGGTAATTTTTAAAAAGTAAGAATAGTTTATTTTTATTCTTAATATAAAAACAATATATTTTCCCATAAAATCAATGAAATATTTAAAAAATGAGAAAGAAAACAAAAGTTCTACCTCCCAGAGATAATCACTATTATGTCTCAGTATATATCCATCAAGACACGTTTCCTGTGGCTATATTGCATAGCGCAGCAGGATCAATACCTGTCAAACTCAAGGTCCAAATAACTTTTCTCTTGTCAGGACTCTTATCTATAGTCTCCCTGACTCCAACATCTCTTTGGAGCCCTGGGAAACAGACTTCAAATAAAAGAGCTGTGCTGGAGATATCAATTCAGGAGTCATCAGCCAAGGTGGTAGCAGAGGCAGTAGGAAGCAATATTATTTACCATTTAGTGACAGCTTACTACGTGTCAGGTGGTGTGCTAAAGTAACATCACACACATTCTAATCCTCATTTAAAAAAACTTTGAAGCTATATTATCTCCATTTTACAAATGAGGAAACTGAAATGCAAAAAAAATAGGTGATGTATTATTTTTATAATGCTTCCTTAAAACATTAGCAAAAATTTAGTCCCTTAAAACATCATGAATCTACTGGTTCACAGTTCTGTAGGTTGGAAGTCCTGAGACAGTTGGCTCACCTAGGTCTCTGCTTAAGAGTCCACAAGGCTGAAATCAAAGTGTCAGCTGGGCTGTATTCATTTCTAGAGTCTATGGGGATGAATGAGCTTCCAAGCTCATTCTGGACGTTGGCAGAATTCTGTTCCTTCTGATTGTAGGACTGATGTCCCATTCTCTTTGCTGGCTGTCAGCTGAGGGTTGTTCTCAGCTTCTAGAGGCTGCCCTTCCTCCATATTTAAAGCCAGCAATGGTGGGTGGAGTCATTCTCATACTTTGAATCTCTCTGACCTCCTCTCTGCCTTATCTCTCTTCTGCTTTCTCCTATTTTTAAACCACTGTACTGTGCTATGATTGACACATAAAAAGTTGTACCTGTTTAATGTATACAACTCAACGAGTTTGAGGATAAGTATATACTCATGAAACTATCAAAGCCATAGATATATCAATCACCTAAAGTTTCCTCCATATTTCCCTATTTTAAGGAGAGTTGATTAGCAACTTAATTACATCTGCAAAGTCCCTACACGTCTTTAGTGTTTGGTTAAATAACCAGGAGATGGGAATCTTGGGGAAATATATTTAAAATTTTGCCCACCATAGGTGATTTTCCCCAAGGTCAAATAACTAATTAAGCAGTGAACCTGGGATTAGAATGCAAGTTTTCTGGGTCCAAAAGTGTTTACCTATAACTCCTAATTCTTATTTTAGTTAATTTTTTAATATATATTTTTTATTGATTAAGATATTACATATGTGTCCTTATCCCCATGTTACCCCCTATTCCCCCGCTCATGCCCTCACCCCCCTGTTGTCCGTGTCCATTGGTTAGGCCTATATGCTTGCATATAAGTCCTTTGGTTGATCTCTCCCCCTTACCCCCACCCTCCCCTACCTTCCCTCCAAGGCCGACAGGACTGTAGTTAATTTTTTTAAAGGCTGGGGGCCCTGGCTGAGTAGCTCAGTTGGTTAGAGTGTCGACCCAATATACCAAGGTTGCAGGTTCCATCTCTTGTCAGGGCACATACAGGAATCAACCAATGAAGGTATAAATAAATGGAACAACAAATCAATGTCTCTTTCTCTCTTTCTTTCTCTCTAAAAATCAATTTAAAAAGCTGGATGACATTTCAAGAAAGGATATAGGCAGGGCAAAAGTAGGCTTACAGTTGTTTGTATGGAAAATAATACAATAATTAATAAATAATAAAATAATAAACTGTGTTTTGTGTACTCACAACTGTAAACCTACTTTTACCCGACTCTGTATATAGAGAAAGAGCAGAAGGCCAAGGCCAGAGATGTTGGGGCACCTGGCAGAAGGCTTTGCAGAAAATAAGTTCAATAAACACTTTTTAAGTTATTTTACTCAGCTATATATCACATACTGGAGCCACTTCACTAGGCCATCACCTTCAAGTGTTTTGTTAAAACCAGAGCATTTTTAGAATTTAAAAACAAACAAACACCAAACTCATAGAAATAGAGAGTAGAATGTTGGTTCCCCAGAGCATGAGGGTTGAGAGAAATGGGGAGATGTTGGTCAAAGGGTACAAACTTCCAGTTATAAAATTAATAAGTTCTGAGGATCTAATACATAGCAGGGTGATTATCTCTTATATAGAAGGCTCGTGGCCATCACGCCATAATGCTGTCACGACCAAACGAGCAGTGGTTTTTGTGGCAGGCAGGGCGGGGCGCAGGCTACTAGTGGTGGAGGGCTACGAGCTGCAGAGGGCAGGGCAGCTAGCTATGAACAGCGATGGGTGGGGCGGCCAGCTGAGGCAAGCGGAAGCGAGCTACACTGGGCCTCTAGTAGTTAATAATACTATACTGTATTATATACTTTGGAGTTGCTGAGAGGATAGATCTTAAATGTTTTTACCACAAAAAGAAATGGTAATTGTGCGACATGATGTATGTGTTCCTAACACTGTGGTGGTAATCATTTTGCAACAAATAAGTATATAAAATCAACATGTGCACAGCTTAAACTTACACAATGTTATATGTCAATTAAATCTCAATAAACCTGGGGTGGGGGGAAGAAAAAAATTCTAAATATTCGTGGCCATTTACACTTCTGAACAAAATTTAGAATCAGTTGACCAATTTTCAATAAAAAACAGGATAGTTTTAAATCTCTACAAGTCATCAGCATGAATAGTTTTAAAATAAAATCATTCTACATTATTTATCTACTAGAGGCCCGGTGCACAAAAATTTGTGCACTGGCGGGGGGGGGGGGAGGGGGCGGGTCCCTCAGCCCCACTTGTGCCCTCTCAAAGCCCGGGAACCCTCGGGGGATAATGAACTGCTGGCTTATGCCTGTTCCCGGGTGGCAGAGGGCAGGCCCAATCCCTAGGGGCCGCCCCTGGTCGGGGTCCTAACAAGGCCGAATGGGGAGGTGGGGCGCCTCCCCCTGTGATGTACAAAGAAAGGGGGACTGGGAGGTTGCGAAGCCACCCCCTTCCCCGCTCGGGGCCGGGCGATGGGGAAGTTTCGGCGCCCCACCTCTGTCATGCTCTAGATGGGCTGATTGTGGAAGGGTCATGACAACCTCCGAGCACCATCTGCACCTCACATACATCGGTAGTAATAAGAAGGCCCTCATATCTTAGAAATAATCGAGCTATTTCGATTCGGGGAGTTTGAATTCACTG